ATATCTGAACTCTGTGATGACAAAATAAATACCATTTATAGCAACTTTTTCTTTTCTGGAACATTTACAGTTACCTACATAATTTTTTTTACAAGTCCTTCCCTCCCAAACAAAATCAGTCACTAGTCCTCTGAGAGAATGCTATTAATGCCATGTTTAAATTACAAATATACTAAGCCCAGGGCTTTTTAAAATACGTCTAGAATATTTTTTTTCCAATAGGCAATTAGCATAAATACATACATACATATATATATATATAATTCTTATGTATCCTAATAAAGGTTTAAAATAATTTGTTAAACTCTTAAAAAGGAACAAAGGGTATTTCTACTCATACCTAGTAATGTATGTAGCTTCCATTGTTATAGTAATTTACCACTCAGAAATCTCTCCTATGGATATTATTTTTACCTCTGTATGATGTAAGGAAGTACTATCCTTATGTTAGAGTTGAGGAGCTGCAACATAGTTTGAACTAATTTACCCAAGGTCATTTAGACAGAATCTGGCAGTGCAGGAGTGGGAACCCAGTCCTGCTAAGTCTTAGTCTGAACCCCTAGACAATCCTTTATTTCAGATAGGAGTATGTTTTAAAGAGCTAAGCAAAAGGAAAACAGGAGTGTTGAGCAAATATTCATGTCAACTTAACTAAACTGAGTACCGTCAGACACCTATAATAGTACATCCTTCAAAGATTTCTGTCTATAATTTGAAAGCATAACACAACAGGTAAAGTAGTCTGAAGAATATACATAAACAATTGAAGACAAGAAAGAGAAAAATCTTATTTTACATGAAATAAGTTGCTTTTTCTGTATGGAAATAAACTTCTAATTTTCTTTCAAAGATCATGGAAGGTCCAGCATTTGGTTAAAAAACAATATGGGTGAAGCAAAGTGGGAATTCCTTTAGTCAAGAACTGTCTGGTAACCACATCTCAACATGATCTCTGTCTTTGGAGGATGTCCAAGGAGAATTCCCCGACAAATCCAACCAACCTGACATAGCCAGCAAAATCTTCTTTGTGGTGATATTGAGACCAATGAAATATTGAGTGTATGTAGTTCTATAGCATCACCTTATTGTGGATTATTTTGAGTTGATTCTCCTCCAAGGGACACCGGATTCTCTGGATTTGTGGTCTGTCAGAAACCATTATCAAGGACTGAATCAAGATCTTGGTTTAGTACTGGCGGTCTTTGATCCAGATATGGTGGATCTTTTGAATTATAATTTCATAATTTGTATAGTATTAAATAGTATGACTGTTCCTGTAATAATACTGTGTTCTTGGTTTTCAAAGGTTCCTGTACCAGATGTCATGATGCCCAATAGTATGCTATTGCCAGCAGCTGCTTCAGAGAAATCTGAACGTGACACACCTGCAACCATTACAGCTGAGGGATCTGGGAAATATCCAGGTATGCAAGAAAAAGCCCAGACATGTAAAAGCTAGGTATGGGCAAAATCATTTTTTTCTTTCTCAGTAAAGTGAATCCTTTTTTGGCTTGCATATAGCCACAGAGATAAAAAGAGAAAAATAACAAGACACCTGAATTTGGCTGACTGCACCCAGGCAGAGCTACTAGGATGCATGTGTATGCCACGTGTATGTTGCTTGTGGTAGTGGCCTAGCCACTTTGAAGGTAAGACCCTCCTTGTTTAACTAGCAGATATGACCCAGTCCTAAAAGGCAGTGGCACTTTCACCAACATTGATGGGGAACGTTAGGCAAATGATCCTGCCTGCCTTTCCAAGAGCAGGTTTCTTATCCTGGGCACTCACTATATTCTGTGCTGGGAAGCTGCTTTGCTACCTCTCACAGCATGCTCCTCCCTCTCTCCTCAGACCACTTTCCTCCTCCTTTCTAATCACCTGTCCTACCTATTGACCCCATTTCTAATTGGGGTCTAATTGACCCTCCCTCTTTCTTATGTTTTGTTTCTTCTTCTTGTTTGGTGCTCTCATTGCACCAATAAACTCCTACCTTATGACAAAGAGAAACCCTGTGCCACTCCCGGGCCAACTGCCACTGCCTTTCTGATAATCATGTTTGGATTTTATTACTTTTTTTTAACCTCATGTCAGTCCTGTCTACTTTATTCTCTGGGGCAAGGATGGGTCGCTATACTTTGCTAGGCCGACACATGGCATACCAGGTGCCTCTCTTGATTTCTGATGAAAAAACCCATTAATACTATGTGCTATTCTCTTCTACTTGTGTAAAAGACACTTAACTTTCTTTAACTAGGTGAAAGTCCTGTGGATGAGAAAAGTACCCCTGGGATCGATGAATCAAAAACTGGAATGGAAATTAAGACTGAGGAACAGAAGCCACCTAAGGAATCTACTGAAACGCCAGATTGGAATAAGAGCAGCAGTAAAGATATGAAGACCACTGACTCAATGACAGATCAGCTAAATGAACAGCAGAAGAAGCAACAGCTCTCTGTTTCTGACCGCCACGTCTATAAGTACCGTTGTAACCATTGTAGCTTGGCTTTTAAGACTATGCAGAAGCTTCAGATACATTCCCAGTATCATGCTATTCGGGCAGCTACCATGTGTAGCCTTTGCCAACGTAGCTTCCGTACATTCCAGGCTTTAAAAAAACACTTGGAAGCAGGCCACCCTGAACTCAATGAAGCTGAACTTCAGCAGCTGTGTGCATCTTTACCTGTCAATGGTGAACTCTGGGCAGAAAGTGAAAGTATGGCACAAGATGATCATGCACTAGAACAGGAAATAGAAAGAGATTATGAGATGGACCAGGAAGGTAAAGCAAGTCCCGTAGGAAGTGATAGTAGCTCTATTCCAGATGATATGGGCTCAGAACCAAAGCGGACCTTACCTTTTAGAAAAGGGCCAAATTTTACTATGGAAAAATTTCTAGATCCATCTCGCCCGTATAAGTGTACAGTGTGTAAAGAGTCTTTCACCCAAAAGAACATTCTCTTGGTCCACTATAACTCAGTGTCCCATCTACATAAACTCAAAAAGGTTTTGCAGGAAGCATCAAGTCCTGTCCCTCAAGAAACCAACAGCAGCACCGACAACAAACCCTACAAATGCAGCATTTGTAATGTTGCATATAGCCAAAGTTCTACGTTGGAAATCCATATGAGATCTGTGCTTCATCAGACAAAGGCAAGGGCTGCAAAATTAGAACCAAGTGGTAATATAAGTAGCGGAAATAGTGTAGCAGGGAATGTTAATAGCCCCAGCCAAGGAATGCTAGAATCTATGAGCTTACCAGCAGTTAACAGCAAAGAAACACATTTAGATGCCAAAGATTTAAATAAAAAGCAAGCTTCTGAATTAATTTCTGCTCAGCCTACACATCACCCACCCCAGTCACCAGCACAACTTCAAATGCAACTACAGCATGAACTGCAACAGCAAGCTGCATTCTTTCAACCCCAGTTTCTAAATCCAGCTTTTTTGCCTCACTTTCCAATGACACCAGAAGCACTGCTGCAATTTCAACAGCCTCAATTCCTTTTCCCCTTCTATATACCTGGGACAGAATTTAGCTTAAGCCCAGATCTGGGTTTGCCTGGTTCTGCCACATTCGGTATGCCTGGAATGGCTGGTATGACAGGATCACTGCTAGAAGATTTGAAGCAGCAAATACAAACTCAGCACCATGTTGGCCAAACCCAGCTACAGATACTGCAGCAACAAGCACAACAGTATCAATCCACCCAACCCCAACTTCAGTCCCAAAAACAGCAGCAGCAAAGTAGCAAGCTGATGAAAGCAGAGCAAAATACCTTAGTAAGTACAGACTGCCAGCTCATAAAGGATATGCCATCATATAAAGAGTCAGAAGAAATTTCTGAGAAACAAGAGAAACCAAAGCAAGAATTTAATAATGAAAATGAAGGACTAAAAGAAAACAAAGATATGAAGAAGCCAAAATCCTCAGAACCAGCCATCCCACCACCCAGAATAGCTTCTGGAGCAAGGGGGAATGCAGCCAAGGCTTTGTTGGAAAACTTTGGGTTTGAGTTAGTTATCCAATACAATGAGAACAGACAAAAAGTACAGAAAAAAAGCAAGACTGGTGAAGGTGAAAACACAGACAAACTGGAATGTGGAACCTGCAGTAAGCTCTTTTCCAACATTCTTATTCTGAAGAGTCATCAAGAACATGTGCATGGACAGTTTTTTCCATATGGAGCATTAGAAAAGTTTGCCCGACAGTACAGGGAGGCGTATGACAAGCTTTATCCAATTTCTCCATCTTCTCCAGAAACACCACCGCCTCCACCACCGCCTCCTCCACCACCACCACCTCCTCCTCCTCCAACTCCTTCTCAGCCTTCTTCAGCTGGGGCTGGAAAAATTCAAAACACAACTCCCACTCCTTTGCAAGCTCCACCACCCACACCACCACCGCCACCTCCTCCACCACCACCACCTCCTCCTCCACCACCACCACCGTCAGCCCCACCTCAAGTCCAGCTTCCTGTTTCACTTGATCTCCCGCTTTTCCCTCCAATTATGATGCAGCCAGTGCAGCATCCTGCATTGCCTCCTCAGCTTGCCCTCCAGTTGCCACCAATGGATACTTTATCTGCAGATCTTACCCAGCTTTGTCAGCAGCAGCTGGGTTTAGATCCCAATTTCCTGCGGCACTCTCAGTTCAAGCGTCCACGTACAAGAATCACAGATGACCAGTTAAAAATCTTGCGGGCTTATTTTGATATTAACAATTCTCCAAGTGAAGAGCAGATCCAAGAAATGGCTGAGAAATCTGGTCTTTCACAGAAAGTTATCAAGCACTGGTTTCGTAATACGCTGTTTAAAGAACGACAGAGAAATAAAGATTCTCCATATAATTTCAGCAACCCTCCCATAACAGTGTTGGAAGATATCAGAATAGATCCTCAACCTGCAGCTGTAGAACCTTACAAGTCTGATGCATCTTTCAGCAAGAGATCATCTAGGACTCGGTTTACTGACTACCAGCTTCGTGTCCTCCAAGACTTCTTTGACACAAATGCTTATCCAAAGGATGATGAAATTGAACAACTTTCAACTGTACTTAACTTACCTACTCGAGTTATTGTCGTATGGTTCCAAAATGCACGACAAAAAGCTCGCAAAAGTTACGAAAATCAAGCTGAAACTAAAGACAATGAGAAAAGGGAACTGACGAATGAGCGTTACATTCGAACTAGTAACATGCAATATCAGTGCAAAAAGTGCAGTGTGGTCTTTCCCAGGATCTTTGATTTGATTACACACCAGAAAAAGCAGTGTTATAAAGATGAAGATGACGATGCTCAAGATGAAAGCCAAACTGAAGATTCTCTGGATGCCTCTGATCAAACAGTGTATAAGAACTGCACAGTTTCTGGCCAAAATGACTCATCAAAAAGCCTGGCAGTCACAGCAGCAAGCTCTGGCTCTGGTTCTAGTACTCCTTTGATTCCATCACCCAAACCAGAACCTGAGAAGGCTTCTCCTAAACCAGAGTCCACAGAAAAAACAAAACAAAATGAAATCATCTCTAAGCAAACCGATACAACTTCCCAAAGCGCCAAACCAGTACAGTCTACTCCAGTAACCTCTTCTGACCCTCAGCCCTCAGCTTCTCAACCACAGCAACAAAAACAATCACAGATAGTAGTAAGACCTCCTTCCGCATCACAAACCACACCTGTTCCTTCCAGTCCTTTACCAATTTCAATGACTTCTCTACAGAACAGTCTACCTCCTCAGTTATTACAGTACCAATGCGATCAGTGTACAGTTGCCTTTCCAACACTAGAACTTTGGCAAGAGCACCAGCACATGCATTTCCTAGCAGCCCAAAACCAATTTCTTCACTCACAGTTTTTAGAAAGACCAATGGATATGCCCTATATGATATTTGATCCCAATAATCCTTTGATGACTGGACAGTTACTTAATAGTTCTCTTGCTCAGATGCCACCACAAACTGGCGCATCACATACGGCACACCCTGCTACAGTTTCTGGTTCCCTGAAACGAAAACTAGATGATAAAGAAGACAATAATTGTAGTGAGAAAGAAGGAGGAAACAGTGGAGAAGATCAACATCGTGATAAGCGTTTAAGAACTACAATTACTCCAGAGCAGCTGGAAATACTCTATGAAAAGTACCTACTAGATTCTAACCCCACCAGAAAGATGCTAGATCACATTGCACGTGAAGTGGGACTGAAAAAGAGAGTCGTACAAGTCTGGTTTCAGAACACAAGAGCCCGAGAAAGAAAGGGACAATTCCGTGCAGTTGGTCCAGCCCAGTCCCATAAAAGGTGTCCTTTTTGTCGAGCTCTGTTTAAAGCAAAATCAGCTTTAGAAAGTCACATTCGCTCTCGACATTGGAATGAAGGGAAACAGGCCGGTTATAGTTTGCCTCCAAGTCCTTTGATATCAACTGAAGATGGAGGAGAAAGTCCACAAAAGTACATATTTTTTGATTACCCATCACTGTCATTAGCAAAAACTGAATTATCAAGTGAAAATGAATTAGCCTCCACTGTATCAACCCCTGTTAGCAAAACTGCAGAAATGTCACCGAAGAACCTCTTAAGTCCTTCTTCTTTTAAAGCAGAGTCTAGTGAGGATATAGAAAATTTGAATGCCCCTCCTGCTGACTCTGGATATGATCAAAACAAGACTGACTTTGATGAGACTTCATCAATTAATACAGCGATTAGTGATGCCACAACAGGGGATGAGGGGAACAATGAAATGGAAAGCACGACTGGCAGTTCAGGGGATGCAAAACCTGCATCACCTCCCAAAGAACCAAAACCACTTGTGAACGACACGCTACCAAAAGCTGCAACTACACCTACAAATGAGAATACCGATGATAAATTTCTCTTTTCCCTAACAAGCCCCTCAATACATTTCAGTGAAAAAGATGGTGATCATGACCAAAGTTACTACATTACTGATGACCCTGATGATAATGCCGACCGCAGTGAAACTTCAAGCATAGCTGATCCAAGTTCACCTAACCCATTTGGAGCTAGCAATCCCTTTAAATCCAAAAACAGTGATCGGCCAGGCCACAAACGTTTCCGAACACAAATGAGTAACCTTCAGCTTAAAGTTCTCAAGGCTTGCTTTAGTGACTACCGGACTCCAACAATGCAGGAATGTGAAATGCTAGGGAATGAGATTGGCCTGCCCAAACGTGTGGTCCAGGTCTGGTTTCAGAATGCCCGGGCTAAGGAAAAGAAATTCAAAATTAACATAGGGAAGCCATTCATGATAAATCAGACTGGACCTGATGGGACAAAGCCAGAATGTTCTCTATGTGGCGTGAAATATTCTGCGCGTTTGTCCATAAGAGATCATATCTTTTCCAAACAACATATTACAAAAGTGAGAGAAACTGTGGGAAGTCAGCTAGATCGGGAGAAAGATTATTTAGCTCCTACAACGGTAAGACAGCTCATGGCACAGCAAGAATTGGATCGCATAAAGAAGGCTACTGATGTGCTAGGATTAACAGTACAGCAGCCAGGCATGATGGACAGCAGTTCCCTTCATGGTATCAGTTTGCCAGCAGCTTATCCAGGACTCTCTGGCCTTCCTCCTGTTCTTCTGCCTGGAATGAATGGTCCATCCTCCTTACCTGGATTTCCACAAAGTTCAAACAGTAAGTCTATAAGGGGATGATTTTCTCATTTTATTAATTTGATCATCTTGCATAGTCACCATCCCCTTCTAAAACACAGCATATTGTGCATTCGTCTCATGCTTGTGAGACTAGTGTGAGTAGCTAAAAAGTACTGCTATGAGGTGTACTCAGTTCAATTCTCAATTGTTGCTGTAGCCTGGATGATATCTCTGATTTTGCAAAAAAACCTGAATGAATTTTAATTGAAATCTATTGACAGAAATGTTTTTAGTCCATATTAGGCTTCTGTAACAAAAGCAATATAACAATACCACTGTTATGCTTTTTTTTTTGTTTTGAATGATACTCCTTTAGGCAAAACTTGGGTTTGAATTTTGGATTTATATTTTTTGCATGCAAATATTTAAAGTAACATCTCATGAAGCACAAAATAGTAATTCCCACATAATCGATTCATCAGACATTTGGTCCACCCCTTAGAGCAGTCCAACCTGTTGTTTAATTCAGAATAAATATTTAAAATAAAATGCTGCCCAAGACCCTCTATTATATTTCTGAATAATTGTCTGCTAAGATAAGAAGGTTTTTGTTGAAGGTGATTTATAATGGCAGTTTTATTGTGATCCAGGTTCCAGGAGCTGTTGAATATCTCTTACCCCTAGTTTATAAAGTCATTGCAGACATGTACCACTTCATTTGAGTTTGCACTTTTAACTGAACACGTAACTCTGTTTTACTGCCTGTTTTGACTCTGGTTTTTGCTCACATTGGAAAACACTTCCTCTTGCAATAAGTTGCACTGAAGTTAGAGAATCAAGTTTTCTGCAAAATGATTTTTTTAATGAACCTAATTTATTTTCTTGTATTAGGCTCCAATTTTGCAGTCACAGTTCATTGTGAGTGCAGCCTTGCAGATTGAAGCTCTCCCATTCATCTTCTAAATTTGCACATTCATATCAAATATGGTTAAGACCCCTCACCTCATTTTATCCAGTAATTCCGCTTGCTGTTGATCTCTAAACTTTGATTTAGAAAGCAACTCACTTTGGCAAGTAAGGTAGGGGCTTAATCATCAGTGCTGTTAAGACATACTGAGACTGTAGCAATGTCTTCTCTGCTACTCAGCTCTGCTTTGATTGATGATGATCATATTATTGTTTCCCTAAGTGGTGGTCAAAGCATCTTGTTTTTCTCTTCATTGGATCAGAATGGCTTTCCTTCCACAATGGAGTCTCTGGCTGAGTGCCCTCTGGCTTTTGTCAAACAGTTATTGGCACAAAGAGTGCATATAAAGGAAATATAAAGTTGCTGTATTTCCTTCTTAATGGCATACAGTGTCCAGGTCCAAAAATGGCTGGTTGTTGTTCATTAAAATTATAGATATGGTTTCTCCATATAATTTCACTAAATAGCTTTGGTTAGGTTGACCTTCAGGTAAAATGGGCTCCAGAAAACTCAGGCTTTGTCCATACTACTAAATGAAATTTGCTTGGGAAGATATTATTACATTCTTTTACTCTCAAAACCAGGAAGTCCCCATGCAAAGTGAGTCTTGGAAATGGTCGTGGATCCATGATAGCCTCTGAGCTGTGCTCAGGAGTTGTTTAGAAGAATTCTAGTTGGCCTAGGCCAAAACAGTGCCAGTGACCATTCTTACCATTTAACTTTATTGATGGTTTAGTTTCAGTTTTTGGGAAATGTTCCCTGCTACTGTTTAACTTGCTAGTATTAATGTAGCCTCAGAGTCTGTAAATTGTCCTGTTAATAATACAAAAAGTAGTATTACAGGCCAACTGGTCCATAATAATTCAATTTTCAGGTTTTCTAATTTCCACCAAATATCTCTTCTTTGAGATAAATTTAAATCATTAGTACCATAGCATAAACAGTGCACTGCCAATTGAGATGGATTTTTACCCCCTTTCATCTTGCATCTTCTTAAGGTTAATTAGCCCATTGTGGGCAAAGCCCACTGTGTAAACTAGCTAGTAGAATCTCGTTGTTAACTTTTTCTTCTGCCATATGCTAAATAGCCCCTATATCCCCCTTTTGTTGCCTGGCAAATACTTGCATGCATAAATCTCCATTCCCTAATGATACATAATGGAGCAGTCATAGTGAATGAAAAAAAAAAAAAGGTTATTTTAATCATTCATCATAGAAAACCATTAATATACTCAGATGTTCTTTAGTATGTGCTCAACACTAGTATTTTCTGCACCTAATTAACCCATTTCTATTTTCTTCTCTACCCTGCTTTGGCTGGTAGTTCACATTCATATTTGATGCTAAGAATTGTTTAAGAAGTATCTTTTTGGAAGCAGGCTTCCAAGCAAGCTTTTCTTTGGCAGTTCTTCTAGCAGTGCGTATATTCTCAGCCAGCAGGACAATTGTTCTGCATCATTCTTTGCATGAAGGATTTTCTGAAGCTAACTCCCTGATGACTCACTATCCTATACTTCAAGTCTACTTGTGAATTCCACTGCAAGTGTGTCATTCTTCTCTTTCGGACCCAATCCCAAAAATGCAGTTCAGAAGAAGTGTCACTAAATATATTCAAATATTTACCTGTTTTCATTGATGCTTACAGGGTTGGTAACTGTATTTCCTGTGGCAAAGCCCATCCATTCTGTCCTACATGTTTGTTTAAAGGACAATGTCAACATTAACAAGACCCTCACTTTTAAAGAATATGTTTGCTATTTGTTAAGACAAGGAACTAGTGAAACTATAATAGTAAACATCAGATTTAAAATTCTCTTTTGTGTTTCTCTTTATTCACGCTAGACAGAGAAATTAGCCTGATTGATTAGTTTCACTGGTTAATACAAGTTTATGAGGGATTTTACTTTCATGTTCTTGCATCCAGTACTGTTTATGGGTTTCCAAAAAGGTACAAAGCACAGCTAAATTTTGCAAAATACTATTCTTTTTTAAATGCAATATTTGCTTTTACAAAAGGCTTGAAATGGAACACTTGAAAATAATGCTAAATCACAAAAGATGGAAATATTCAGACTGCAGTTCATTTTATCTTCTTTATGTAGGGCTCAAACTGGACTTTTATTTGCAAATTATTAGATTTGTCAAAATAAGATAGCTTCATTTCTGAATGAAAGGATCCATTAACTTTAAATTCAGTTATTTTGTTCTAAACCAAGTGGTTTTTAATGTCAGAATTATTGTGTGGTTCTAGGATGATATGTCGAAGAATCCTTTCACCTGTGGATATGTTTCTCTAGATAATGTAATTATACCATCTTGCAGGCATCAAATGCTGAGCAAGGTCTCAAAATTACTGCTATGTTTGCTCAGCATAATTCCTAATATGGAGTTATTTGGAGGAATTCTAGTTCATACAGAATTTTAGTTCCAGCTCATCTTTGTTCTTCAAGCCCCTTCTTATTTTCTAGGTGACTGTAGATAGAAGAGTTCACCTGCTGTTTTCGGCTGTTCTTAAAATTCACATTCTCTTTTCTTCTCAGCTTTGTGTTTTTGCCTATGATCCCTTGCAGAAAACTAGTGCTTCATCTTGCTTCTAGCTATTAATACTGGTTCTATGAACCTTTTAATGTCACCATCATTACCATAGGTTCTTTGCACATCACTTAAGCCTGGGCTGCCTTGAAGATTCACAGCAGCTTTTTCCAAGAATGCACACATCGCTGGCTAATACGTACTTAGTGGTTTTTGAAATCTTATCAAGAGAGAAATTTGATTCAGCAGTCATTACTTTCCGTATTATTAGGGCACTAAATTCTATTCTTTGTTTGCTTTTGGCCCATTGATAGCAGTTTCACTTTTTTCACTTTTATATTTTTAGCCCTCTGATTCCTCCAAGAGACAAGAGAAGTCTCTCCTCTTTGATAGTCACTTCAAAGAGTCAGCAGGATTAGAATATTTCTTCATGATTAGTGAATCTACACCTCTCATGTCTGGAAATGGGGCCTTAGTTTCATCAAGTTTTCTTCATTGAATTTTGGAAACCCTCATTTCCACATTTAACTTCCAATAAAACAGGTGGATTTCACTATTCTATTGCAGCCTATCTGGATATTTAACTGAATTCTGTGCATTTCAACTAAATTCCAAAGAATATCTGGAAAATAGAATAGATCTTGGCTGGTCTGGGCATCATCAGTGTGAGTGGACTGAAGACAACATGATGTGTAAGGGTTGAAGAGGTTAAGAATAGAAAGAAAACGGAAAATCCTAAGTAGCTGACAAGCCCAAGTAACCATGACAAAGCTGGGGCAGCAGTTCATACTAATTGCATCATTCATGCATTTTCCATCTACAGTATTTATCATTTAATATATTTTCAGCAGACTCCACACACAATTGCCTGTTACTTCCTGTTGAAAGCATAGGGGCAAGCAATACCTTCGATGTTATTGTGCAATAAGTGTAGCAATTACCCACTTTTTAATTATAACTGTTGTGACTTGTTTCACTGTACTATCTAATCCATGCTCACAATGCATTTTAACTCCTTAGTGTCCCCTACCATTAAATAGGAGTAATGACACGGTGACAGTGACAAACATTAAATGGCCTCTTTGTTAAATCTGATAATTATTCCCTTTGAATCCTAATTGCTTTATTCCTAACTAAGGCTAAGCACCTGGATATTGATAAGTTAAACATCATTCTTGTTCACTCCATTAGTGCTTCCTAGTAGTTAATACCCATCTAACCTCCATTACAGAGCCTGCATTTATTGTTCTCTTATCCCTGTGCTAGTAGGCTCTTCCCGACGTTGCTTCACTTTTACAGTTCTGTGGGCTTCACACACTTCACACACTCTTTTCTCTAGCAAACTTACTTGCCTGAAAAAATGACAATGGGTGTAATGTACAGCCTTTTACAGTTAGTTGCTTTTTCTATCCTGTGCCATCATTTAATTTTCTGACCAACTATACATCTCACAGAAGTTGCTTTTTAATAAACTGTTCCCAGCCACTGCACTATATCTGGTACTGAAACAGAGAAAAGATTTCTTCCATTAAGTTATGAGGCATACTTCTTGTGTGTATGTACCTGT